TCACCAACGTGTAAATAGAGGGTGTTACCGATAGGGCAGCACATGCTTTCCCTTTTCACCAACGTGTAAATAGAGGGTGTTACCGATAGGGCAGCACATACTTTCCCTTTTCACCAACGTGTAAATAGAGAGTGTTACCGATAGGGCAGCACATACTTTCCCTTTTCACCAACGTGTAAATAGAGAGTGTTACCGATAGGGCAGCACATACTTTCCCTTTTCACCAACGTGTAAATAGAGAGTGTTACCGATAGGGCAGCACATGCTTTCCTTTTCACCAACGTGTAAATAGAGGGTGTTACCGATAGGGCAGCACATACTTTCCCTTTTCACCAACGTGTAAATAGAGGGTGTTACCGATAGGGCAGCACATACTTTCCCTTTTCACCAACGTGTAAATAGAGAGTGTTACCGATAGGGCAGCACATGCTTTCCTTTTCACCAACGTGTAAATAGAGGGTGTTACAGATAGGGCAGCACATACTTTCCCTTTTCACCAACGTGTAAATAGAGGGTGTTACCGATAGGGCAGCACATACTTTCCCTTTTCACCAACGTGTAAATAGAGGGTGTTACCGATAGGGCAGCACATACTTTCCCTTTTCACCAACGTGTAAATAGAGGGTGTTACCGATAGGGCAGCACATGCTTTCCCTTTTCACCAACGTGTAAATATGTTACCGATAGGGAGCACATGCTTTCCCAGATAAATAGGGGGTGTTACGATAGGGCAGCACATACTTTCCCTTTCACCAACGTGTAAATAGAGGTGTTACCGATAGGGCAGCACATGCTTTCCCTTTCACCAACGTGTAAATAGAGGGTGTTACCGATAGGCAGCACATACTTTCCCTTTTCACCAACGTGTAAATAGAGAGTGTTACCGATAGGGCAGCACATGCTTTCCCTTTTCACCAACGTGTAAATAGAGGGTGTTACCGATAGGGCAGCACATACTTTCCCTTTTCACCAACGTGTAAATAGAGAGTGTTACCGATAGGGCAGCACATACTTTCCTTTTCACCAACGTGTAAATAGAGGGTGTTACCGATAGGGCAGCACATGCTTTCCCTTTTCACCAACGTGTAAATAGAGGGTGTTACCGATAGGGCAGCACATACTTTCCCTTTTCACCAACGTGTAAATAGAGGGTGTTACCGATAGGGCAGCACATACTTTCCCTTTTCACCAACGTGTAAATAGAGGGTGTTACCGATAGGGCAGCACATGCTTTTCCCTTTTCACCAACGTGTAAATAGAGGGTGTTACCGATAGGGAAGCACATACTTTCCCTTTTCACCAACGTGTAAATAGAGGGTGTTACCGATAGGGCAGCACATACTTTCCCTTTTCACCAACGTGTAAATAGAGAGTGTTACCGATAGGGCAGCACATACTTTCCTTTTCACCAACGTGTAAATAGAGAGTGTTACCGATAGGGCAGCACATGCTTTCCCTTTTCACCAACGTGTAAATAGAGGGTGTTACCGATAGGGCAGCACATACTTTCCTTTTCACCAACGTGTAAATAGAGGGTGTTACCGATAGGGCAGCACATACTTTCCCTTTTCACCAACGTGTAAATAGAGGGTGTTACCGATAGGGCAGCACATACTTTCCCTTTCACCAACGTGTAAATAGAGGGTGTTACCGATAGGGCAGCACATACTTTCCCTTTTCACCAACGTGTAAATAGAGAGTGTTACCGATAGGGCAGCACATGCTTTCCCTTTCACCAACGTGTAAATAGAGGGTGTTACCGATAGGGCAGCACATACTTTCCCTTTCACCAACGTGTAAATAGAGGGTGTTACCGATAGGGCAGCACATACTTTTCCTTTTCACCAACGTGTAAATAGAGAGTGTTACCGATAGGGCAGCACATACTTTCCCTTTTCACCAACGTGTAAATAGAGGGTGTTACAGATAGGGCAGCACATGCTTTCCCTTTTCACCAACGTGTAAATAGAGGGTGTTACCGATAGGGCAGCACATACTTTCCCTTTCACCAACGTGTAAATAGAGGGTGTTACCGATAGGGCAGCACATACTTTCCCTTTTCACCAACGTGTAAATAGAGGGTGTTACCGATAGGGCAGCACATACTTTCCCTTTTCACCAACGTGTAAATAGAGGGTGTTACCGATAGGGCAGCACATGCTTTCCCTTTTCACCAACCTGTAAATAGAGAGTGTTACCGATAGGGCAGCACATACTTTCCCTTTTCACCAACGTGTAAATAGAGGGTGTTACAGATAGGGCAGCACATGCTTTCCCTTTTCACCAACGTGTAAATAGAGGGTGTTACCGATAGGGCAGCACATACTTTCCCTTTTCACCAACGTGTAAATAGAGGGTGTTACCGATGGGCAGCACATGCTTTCCCTTTTCACCAACGTGTAAATAGAGGGTGTTACCGATAGGGCAGCACATACTTTCCTTTTCACCAACGTGTAAATAGAGAGTGTTACCGATAGGGCAGCACATGCTTTCCCTTTTCACCAACGTGTAAATAGAGGGTGTTACAGATAGGGGCAGCACATACTTTCCTTTTCACCAACGTGTAAATAGAGGGTGTTACCGATAGGGCAGCACATACTTTCCCTTTTCACCAACGTGTAAATAGAGAGTGTTACCGATAGGGCAGCACATGCTTTCCCTTTTCACCAACGTGTAAATAGAGGGTGTTACGACAGATAGGGCAGCACATACTTTCCCTTTTCACCAACGTGTAAATAGAGGGTGTTACCGATAGGGCAGCACATGCTTTCCCTTTTCACCAACGTGTAAATAGAGGGTGTTACCGATAGGGCAGCACATACTTTCCCTTTCACCAACGTGTAAATAGAGGGTGTTACCGATAGGGCAGCACATACTTTCCCTTTTCACCAACGTGTAAATAGAGGGTGTTACCGATAGGGCAGCACATGCTTTCCCTTTTCACCAACGTGTAAATATAGGGTGTTACCGATAGGGCAGCACATGCTTTCCCTTTTCACCAACGTGTAAATAGAGGGTGTTACCGATAGGGCAGCACATGCTTTCCCTTTTCACCAACGTGTAAATAGAGGGTGTTACCGATAGGGCAGCACATACTTATGAGTGAGTATGGTTTTACGTCGCTTTTAGCAATATCTCTGCAATATCACGGCAACGGAGACCAGAAACGGACTGTCAGAATATCATATTTCTATTCATCATCTGGATCAACAGGCTAAAACCAAACCCAGCACGAAACGAACTCGGCAATGCATATAAAATGTCCTGATCGAGTGAGTGAGTGAGTGAGTGAGTGAGTGCAGTTTCACGCCGAATTCAGCAATATTCCAGCAATATCACGGCAACGGACAACAGAAACGAACATGGTACCCCGGGTCTTCAGCGTGACGAGAGGACGCTTTAACCATTGGACTATCCCACCGCTCCTTAACGTTATCTTTCCCCAATCGGACAATACCCAAGTCACCAGGAAAAATGCTTCAGGTAAACATAAATGTTAAAAAGAAAATCGATAAAGCAAAGTGTTTGATATGCATTGCTGTAAGGGCAGTTTGATAACGACTGATAAACTGAAGGTAATTATAGCACAGGCAACACCCAGCGCATTATGCATCGTATCCCGGTTACAATGGTATGTTGCCTTCACATGCAACACCTGTACTGTACATAGTTGTCTTCTGCGAGCACTGTACTGATGTGTGTGGAGTCGATCACGGGGCACATGTTCTTGTCTATCATTTATTTCGGATATAGTTGTAGCAGTTGATCAAGCAATCCTTCCCACGTCGTGTAGGTACTGCCCAGTGGAAACGTCGGCCCAGTCGATAGTGCTCGGCGACTCGCGATGCTGAGTTGCGTCCCTTGAGCTTACCAGAGATCTGTGACTGTGGTTCGAATTCCGGTTCGTCCCAAATATGTTCCTAGATTTAACAGCACTTTACCCCTGTTCCTGGATTTCACAAAACTGGTAAATATATCATATCGACATCATCAACTCGAAGTTTCCTCCAGGATCAAGCTGAGAGTCGTTTATAACTGGAAAACAGTCAGACTTGCTCAAGTAAACCTTACCCTTACCCTTAAACATAATTGAAACACACTGAACGAAATAGTAAGCATATTCATAGATATATGATTCCCTATAAACAATGCCCATTGTATGCCCGAATGACCAAAACACGAAACAAAAACAAATAACAAAATCAAAACAAAAACTACGGAAGCGTAGTAGGGCCAAGGTGAAACTTTTTTTTGGTCTTACTAGCTCCTACGTAGTTCTTAATATCTCCTACGCCCTACGTAGGAGATACTTAGTCCTACGTAGGAGATACTAAGTCCTACGTAGGAGATATTAAGTACTAATCTCCTACGTAGGACTTAGTATCTCCTACGTAGGACCTAATACTTAGTCCTACGTAGGAGATACTAAGTCCTACGTAGGAGATATTAAGTACTACGTAGGTGATACCAAGTTCCACGTAGGTGATACTAAGTCCTACGTAGGAGATACCAAGTCCTACGTAAGAGTCATTAAGTCCTACTTAGAAGACAGTGACCCCAGCAAGATGTTAAACCGTGGCCCTACTACGCTTCCGTAAAAAAACAAAAACAAAAAAACAATGAAAAATAAAACGAAAACAAATCCCCCCAAACAGTAAAATAATACACAAAACAACCCAAAACGCAAATGCTAAGTAATTTATGGTAACGGGTCTTTTTGCATTTGAAAATATTCAAGTTCTATAAAAGATGCACGAAGGCAAACGCTTTGCAATGAGCAAGAATGAAAACAAACTAATGAACTGATGAATGTCGAGAAGATTATTCATGTCTTGAATTAATCAGTTTTATACGTGTTGTTTAACGTCACACTCAGCAATATTAATCATGGCGGCCTGTAACGGATAATTTTAGACCAGAAAATCTCGTGATCAACAGCATAAGTATCGATCTATGCAGTTGGTCTACGACGACATGTGTCAACCAAGCCAGTGAGTCCGACCACCCGACAATGTGAGTCAAGTCTTTGGTCAAGCATGTGTTATTCGAACCCGGATCGTCACGGATCTCTAATTATCCGGGTGTGTGACAACAGTTTCGTGAGGTGGACAAATCATCTTATCAAGATTACTGCTCGACAAGGCAGCGGCAGTATATCCACATTAGTGTACGCGTGCTCCAGATGAATCACAGATAAACCTGTTTGTACCCTGTGTGGCTCGACCAGGAAATTCAATACTGAAATAGACAAAGACTGTCTAGTCACTGCTTCCTGAACTGTGATCCGGGGATACTAAGGTGAAGAACAAATCGGGATATTATGATCTACTTGTACAACTGGATGATCTGATGCTGTGTCAATTATGGGCAAGAGGCTGGAGATTCATTTGATGCTTCTAGCTGCGCTGACTGTCAGTGGTAGGTGTCTGTTTTATTCACTTATCATGGTGTTACAGTCGATTAGAACATGACTTGCTGTAGAGCCCCATAGACCTATTTGTGGAATTGAGCCGTATTAACTACGAGGAGAGTTCTATGGATATACAACTTCTTTAATATAATATGAGCGACGTTTCGGTGTTACTATACTGTATTAACTATACTAAAATACTTTAAAAATGCAACACTCACAATTCCACTTCATCTGAAAATATCAAAGAAAATACAATGGGATTACAGCGGTATATAAAGCACATTGGGAATACAGTAATGTAAGAAAATACAAACTGAATACTGTGGTGTATGGAACTGTACTACCCATCAAAGTTTAGACTCGCTGGTGTAAATGTAGCCACTTACTTCATTCAACTGTTCTATACTAGATTTTGCAAAATATTCCATCCTGTTTAAAGGTACTGTTTACACATGAACTGATGTATTGTTCAACAAATTTGTAACGTTGAAAAGATTATTGTCATGTGTTCAATAAATCACGGAACTCGGTGAAAAAATGGCGATTTTATATCAAAACTTTACACCAAAACGCAGCTGTTCACATGCACGGTATTTGCACATGCTTTTGAGCAATTTGATGCATGATCCTCGTCCAATTCACATGCACAAGGTTTGCAGTTGCTTCCCCCTAGTTAGTGGAGAAATCAATCTTCAATTTAACCACATATACGTGAACATAACGTATAGTGAGTGCTTTAAGTGAATCGAAACTTTGATGGGTAGTATACGACTGGAACTGATGTCAGTCCGCATTTGAAGCCATGCCATGATACCACACGTGGGTCAGTTTTGCCAAACGCAGAAATGCAAAGCTGCTGATATGGATGGCTGAAGACTTGCAAGTCTATTACGTGCAAACCCAGCAGTTGGAAGCATTAAAGACACGGATGAATGCAGACGTTGAAGTGTTTGAAAACGAACACGCCAACCAGGCATGCAAAACAGCTCTAAATATTACCGGAAACATGCCTAAACATACCACTCAGTAGAGCAGAAATAAAAAGTCTATCGACACAAAACATTCACCAACAGCAGCAAACTAGTAACTAAATTTCAATCCCCAAATACAACACAAGCACCCCCCCACCCCCACCCCCACATAAAAGCCATTTAACAATTAAGCACCTTCCACAGATACACAAATTTCATAGAAAGGGTGATAACTTAATGATAGACTGGGCATAAATTAAATTACGCTCGCACCTGTAATAAAAGGAATATCGGACCAATGCTGCCACTGCATTACATACAGAAACACCCAAATACATTCTCCTATACTATACTCATACATTCCCCTATACTATACTCACTACAGCCAACACAGAATAGTGCTCCAAACCTCACTGGGCACTGCACAGATAATTAACCTCACTAAACAACGCTAAAAGCTTCATATATCCAACTGGACTAAGCTTCAGGAGATGTTGCTATTGTTTCCTTCCGTATAATAGTTAGTTGTTGTGTCGCTGTCAGTGGACGTCAGTCAAGTCACGTGAACTTTATACAATTGTGTAGTAAATCCCTCCAAGTATTGATAAAAAAGCTCCAACCTTAACACACTGTGACCCTCATTGTATCAGAGTAAGTACTCCAATGAATTCAAGCGGGTGGAAGTAATTTCCTAGCTTTGTGACCGTTAACCCGCCAAGTGTATTTCCTCCAGGGATACACGGATTTTGCCGGTTAAGTATGTCACTTTTCCGTTTTTTCATGACGTGAAAGGAAGCTAGCTCCAGTTTTGGTATTGTGAGGCTTGGCCTAATGTGGTACTCAGAATAAAGAATAATGTTTTAGCCCCCAAAACGGGTTGAGGTTTATTTGTAAACAGCAACACAGCTGTCACAGCTTTACTAAGCATGTCCTGACTTGTTGTGCTAGTCACAGGTCGTTATCTGTACTAAATGTGCACGCGCACACACACACGCACGCACACTATAAAAAAATAGCAAAAACAACAACAAAAAAACAGGAAAAAGAAACAAAGAAGCAAATAAAGCCAAACCACAAAACACACAACACACACAAAACCAAACCAAACACACATACCAAACACACACCCACCCCCAAAATAACAAAAACAACCAAAATCCAAAGCAACAACAACAAAAACACCACAAAAACCCCCATAGAAAATAGCGTTGAGAGCATGTTTACAAACCTGTAGAGTTTCTTGCAGTGGTTGGTTACGTGCGAATGTTTCTAATCTTTTGTATTCAGTTTGAATATGTCACGTAATATATTCGCCCATGTCGTCCTGTAATTGATTGCTGTAAAGAAGTGTTTTCTCAGTGTTGTTTAGTATTGACAAATCAGTTTCACTTTTCAGTGTTTAGCCAGACAATCCGACTCGTGTCCCCACTTGACAACGGTGTTGGGAGACTTGAGGTGTACTATAACGGCACGTGGGGCACCGTGTGTGACGATGACTTTGGTGCCGATGAAGCTAAAGTGGCCTGCCGACAACTAGGACGATAGTAAGACGCCATGTGTAAAACCGTATTAGTAAAATTATATATATTATACCATGCCATGCTATTACAACAGTTACATAATGTCCTGACGTTGGTAAGGTATGCATGACAAACAAAAGTAGGACACCGTGTTATATTGATTATCACATGTTGGTGACGCGAGGTAGTGACGTATGTCTGACAACAGTAAGTTACTATGACAACAGTAAGCAACTACGTCATAATGGTCCTTGTGTGAAGTAATGAGACGGATGACGTATGTTTGACAAAAGCGAGCTACAATGACAACAGTAAACTACTATGTCATAATGGTCCTTGTATGAAGTAATGAGACGGATGACGCATGTATGACAAAAGCGAGCTACAATGACAACAGTAGGTTAGTATGGCATAATGGTCCTTGTGTGATGTAATGTGGTGGGTGAAGTATGAATGCCAACTGTATGTTAGTATGTCATAATGGTCCTTGTGTGATGTAATTTGGTGGGTGCAGTATGAATGACAACTGTATGTTAGTATGGCATAATTGTCCTTGTGTGATGTAATGTGGTGGGTGAAGTATGAATGACAACTGTATGTTAGTATGTCATAATGGTCCTTGTGTGATGTAATTTGGTGGGTGAAGTATGAATGCCAACTGTATGTTAGTATGTCATAATGGTCCTTGTGTGATATAATTTGGTGGATGAAGTATGAATGACAACTGTATGTTAGTATGGCATAATGGTCCTTGTGTGATATAATGTGGTGGGTGAAGTATGAATGACAACTGTATGTTAGTATGTCATAATGGTCCTTGTGTGATGTAATTTGGTGGGTGAAGTATGAATGCCAACTGTATGTTAGTATGTCATAATGGTCCTTGTGTGATGTAATGTGGTGGATGAAGTATGAATGCCAACTGTATGTTAGTATGTCATAATGGTCCTTGTGTGATGTAATGTGGTGGGTGAAGTATGAATGACAACTGTATGTTAGTATGTCATAATGGTCCTTGTGTGATGTAATGTGGTGGGTGAAGTATGAATGCCAACTGTATGTTAGTATGTCATAATGGTCCTTGTGTGATGTAATGTGCTGGGTGCAGTATGAATGCCAACTGTATGTTAGTATGATATGATGGTCCTTGTGTGATGTAATGTGGTGGGTGAAGTATGAATGACAATTGTATGTTAGTATGTCATAATGGTCCTTGTGTGATGTAATGTGGTGGGTGAAGTATGAATGACAACTGTATGTTAGTATGTCATAATGATCCTTGTGTGATATAATGTGGTGGGTGAAGTATGAATGACAACTGTATGTTAGTATGTCATAATGGTCCTTGTGTGATGTAATTTGCTGGGTGAAGTATGAATGCCAACTGTATGTCAGTATGATATGATGGTCCTTGTGTGATGTAATGTGGTGGGTGAAGTATGAATGACAAATGTATGTTAGTATGTCATAATGGTCCTTGTGTGATGTAATGTGGTGGGTGAAGTATGAATGCCAACTGTATGTTAGTATGTCATGATGGTCCTTGTGTGATGTAATGTGGTGGGTGAAGTATGAATGACAAATGTATGTTAGTATGTCATAATGGTCCTTGTGTGATGTAATTTGCTAGGTGAAGTATGAATGACAACTGTATGTTAGTATGTCATAATGGTCCTTGTGTGATGTAATGTGGTGGGTGAAGTATGAATGCCAACTGTATGTCAGTATAATATGATGGTCCTTGTGTGATGTAATGTGGTGGGTGAAGTATGAATGACAACTGTATGTTAGTATGTCATAATGGTCCTTGTGTGATGTAATGTGGTGGGTGAAGTATGAATGATAACTCTATGTTAGTATGTCATAATGGTCCTTGTGTGATGTAATGTGGTGGGTGAAGTATGAATGCCAACTGTATGTCAGTATGTCATGATGGTCCTTGTGTGATGTAATGTGGTGGGTGAAGTATGAATGACAACTGTATGTTAGTATGTCATAATGGTCCTTGTGTGATGTAATTTGGTGGGTGAAGTATGAATGACAACTGTATGTTAGTATGTCATAATGGTCCTTGTGTGATGAAATTTGTGGTGAAGTATGAATGCCAAAGTATGTCATAATGGTCCAATGTGGTGAATGTTATGTTATGTCATGGTCCTTGTGTGATGTAATGTGGTGGGTGAAGTATGAATGACAACTGTATGTTAGTATGTCATAATGGTCCTTTGTGTGATGTAATGTGGTGGATGAAGTATGAATGACAACTGTATGTTAGTATGTCATAATGGTCCTTGTGTGATGTAATGTGGTGGGTGAAGTATGAATGACAACTGTATGTTAGTATGTCATAATGGTCCTTGTGTGATGTAATGTGGTGGTGAAGTATGAATGACAACTGTATGTTAGTATGTCATAATGGTCCCTTGTGTGATGTAATGTCAGTAATGGTCCTTGTGGTGAAGTATGAATGACAACTGTATGTTAGTATGTCATAATGGTCCTTGTGTGATGTAATGTGGTGGGTGAAGTATGAATGACAACTGTATGTTAGTATGTCATAATGGTCCTTGTGTGATGTAATGTGGTGGGTGAAGTATGAATGACAACTGTATGTTAGTATGTCATAATGGTCCTTGTGTGATGTAATGTGGTGGGTGAAGTATGAATGACAACCAGTATGTTAGTATGTCATAATGGTCCTTGTGTGATGTAATGTGGTGGGTGAAGTATGAATGATAACTCTATGTTAGTATGTCATAATGGTCCTTTGTGTGATGTAATGTGGTGGATGAAGTATGAATGACAACTGTATGTCAGTATGTCATAATGGTCCTTGTGTGATGTAATTTGGTGGGTGAAGTATGAATGCCAACTGTATGTTAGTATGTCATAATGGTCCTTGTGTGATGTAATTTGGTGGGTGAAGTATGAATGCCAACTGTATGTTAGTATGTCATAATGGTCCTTGTGTGATGTTATGTGGTGGGTGAAGTATGAATGCCAACTGTATGTTAGTATGTCATAATGGTCCTTGTGTGATGTAATGTGGTGGGTGAAGTATGAATGACAACTGTATGTTAGTATGTCATAATGGTCCTTGTGTGATGTAATGTGGTGGATGAAGTATGAATGAAAACTCTATGTTAGTATGTCATAATGGTCCTTGTGTGATGTCATGTGGTGGATGAAGTATGAATGCCAACTGTATGTCAGTATGTCATAATGGTCCTTGTGTGATGTAATGTGGTGGGTGAAGTATGAATGACAACTGTATGTTAGTATGTCATAATGGTCCTTGTGTGATGTAATGTGGTGGGTGAAGTATGAATGATAACTCTATGTTAGTATGTCATAATGGTCCTTGTGTGATGTAATGTGGTGGGTGAAGTATGAATGCCAACTGTATGTCAGTATGATATGATGGTCCTTGTGTGATGTAATGTGGTGGGTGAAGTATGAATGACAACTGTATGTTAGTATGTCATAATGGTCCTTGTGTGATGTAATTTGGTGGGTGAAGTATGAATGCCAACTGTATGTTAGTATGTCATAATGGTCCTTGTGTGATGAAATTTGGTGGATGAAGTATGAATGCCAACTGTATGTTAGTATGTCATAATGGTCCTTGTGTGATGTAATGTGGTGGGTGAAGTATGAATGATAACTGTATGTTAGTATGTCATAATGGTCCTTGTGTGATATAATGTGGTGGGTGAAGTATGAATGATAACTGTATGTTAGTATGTCATAATGGTCCTTGTGTGATGTAATGTGGTGGATGAAGTATGAATGAAAACTCTATGTTAGTATGTCATAATGGTCCTTGTGTGATGTCATGTGGTGGATGAAGTATGAATGCCAACTGTATGTCAGTATGTCATAATGGTCCTTGTGTGATGTAATTTGGTGGGTGAAGTATGAATGCCAACTGTATGTTAGTATGTCATAATGGTCCTTGTGTGATGTAACTTTGTGGGTAAAGTATGAATGACAACTGTATGTTAGTATGTCATAATGGTCCTTGTGTGATGTAATGTGGTGGGTGAAGTATGAATGCCAACTGTATGTTAGTATGTCATAATGGTCCTTGTGTGATGTAATGTGGTGGGTGAAGTATGAATGACAACTGTATGTTAGTATGTCATAATGGTCCTTGTGTGATATAATGTGGTGGGTGAAGTATGAATGATAACTGTATGTTAGTATGTCATAATGGTCCTTGTGTGATGTAATGTGGTGGGTGAAGTATGAATGATAACTCTATGTTAGTATGTCATAATGGTCTTTGTGTGATGTCATGTGGTGGATGAAGTATGAATGCCAACTGTATGTCAGTATGTCATAATGGTCCTTGTGTGATGTAATTTGGTGGGTGAAGTATGAATGCCAACTGTATGTTAGTATGTCATAATGGTCCTTGTGTGATGTAATTTGGTGGGTGAAGTATGAATGCCAACTGTATGTTAGTATGTCATAATGGTCCTTGTGTGATGTTATGTGGTGGGTGAAGTATGAATGCCAACTGTATGTTAGTATGTCATAATGGTCCTTGTGTGATGTAATGTGGTGGGTGAAGTATGAATGACAACTGTATGTTAGTATGTCATAATGGTCCTTGTGTGATATAATGTGGTGGGTGAAGTATGAATGGCAGCAGTAACATATGTCTCACCTATTCACAGGATGTTGTCATACAGATAGAATATTGATGTTAAACAACTACATGCAGAGAGACATAACTATAGGTAACTAAGGTATTATTGGAAAGTTCGTAAAGCAATTCATCAATAGAAATAAAATGGTGGAGAACTATATATTTGCTCGTGTATCAAGAACACAAAAGCCCTACATAGGAAACTTAAATTAAACAGATGCCCTAAGATATGCGCGTTATCACCTCCAACGTAAATACGGACGGTAGGGTAGCCTAGTGGTTAAAGCGTTGGCTCGTCACGCCGAAAACCCAGGTTCGATTCCCTGCATTGGTGGTATATTTCTGGTGTCCTCCGCTGGATATTGCTCGGATGTTGCTAAAAGCAGCGTGAATCCATGCTCACCCACTCCAGCGCAAACATGTTATGACAGTCGCGGCATGATGTATTGAGGTCAGCGGGACATGATGTATTGATGTCAGCGTGACATGATGTATTGAGGTCAGCGTGACATGATGTACTGAGGTCAGCGTGACATGCATGACTGTAAGATACAAAGTTACAATAGCACCAGAGATAGGTGTGTGACAATAGTAAGATATCATATCATACAAGTACGTGTGTGTTGAATTGAGATAAGCGAGTTATGTATGACAATAATAATACTCTCTGTCATAATAGTACTCGAGCAAAATCCCGAGGTATGTATCACTAGAAGTTAGATTAAAATATGCAGGCAAAAGTTATTGTGACATTGTAATCTCATCATTATTTTTTCTTTTTTTAAATCAGAGAATGAGGGTACTAAATGGTCGAAGAAACGAAAGACAGCAGATGTTCGAATTGCACGAAAATTCAAAGAAATCTGATATATGTCCAGTAATTTTCAATTTAAAGTTCCAGGCATCAAGACGCATATCATTATTTCCACTCAATGCCGTCTTTAAAATAGCAGAATTAAAAACAAACCCACCCCACCCCACCCCCACCCTACTCAAAGAAAAACAACAAAACAAACAACAACAAAAGCAAAACAAAAAGCAACAACAACAAAACAACAAGATACAACACAGAAAAAAACAAAAACACACACAACATAAACACCCCCCCAAAAAAAACCCAACACAATTGATCAGCCGATAAACATGTCCTGGGTGAAATGATCCTACGTTTATGACGTCATGCCAATTTTCCAACATTATTGCAGGAATTTGTTTAACTCTTTCCTCGCATATGGAATAATCTGGCTTTCATCAACGTTTTGTGGCCTCAATGAGGCGAAGGTGTCATGTCTGCATCAATGCACAAGATGCTACCGACCGCGTTGTGACTCATGTACATATGCTAGTACTTTTGATCGCTACCATACCTTGAAACGTTTGTCTTTGCATGCAATATTATTTCATTCGGGGATGTAAAAGATTCAAACTGATTCCATTTGTTGTCTGTGTGTCGCAATACATTTTGATTCTGAGTATAGAAATTATGTCACACACTGAGGTAGGTGAGGTCTGTGTGACAATAGTTGGACACAATTTTAAGGTAGTACTGACCCATAATTGTGACCCATAGTTTGATGACAACTTGGGGGCCAAAAAGACAATTTCTTGAATTTAATTTGTGTGTTTAGTCAAAGCGGACATACACCAAGGGCGATTCAAACTTTCGGTTTTGGAGGAGGGCAGATTTGGTTGGATGACGTGAGTTGCTCTGGTTCCGAATCATCTTTGGCCAGCTGTTCACACAGGTCATGGGGCGTCAACAATTGTGGCCACAGTGAAGATGTTGGCATCATATGTGATCCAAGTGAGTTGTTATTATCTTCACAAGTATTTACTTCAATATAAGCAGCATTTTTATCTATAGCTGTTGTTCTTGTGCAACTCGGTATTGGTCGTTGTTTATACATGGTCATGACCAGGAATAAAAAAACACACACACCAAAATGAAGACGAAACATAGAGAAAATCAAAACAAAAAACAAAAGAAATATTTTGTCCGTAAAACATAAAATGTCTGCAAATAATTCTCATTGCTGAGCAAGGGTGGGTGGATGTTTGATGCATACCAAAATCAGAAGTACGCTCAATTATGTAGAGCACATAGAACCATTTGTCAAAAATGCCATAATTAGCAAACAGTCTTTATCTGTTTTGATGTAGGGATGCATACGATACGATTCAAATGCTATTGAATCGCAGCGGCAGTTGCGTTTGAATGAAATTCATGAATGGCGTTTAGAAAATGTGTGCTTTTTTAGGAAATGTAAATCTCACAAATACGTAGATTTAGATGTCAAAGGTTCAGGTTACATTCTTTTATGTTCCTTTTGTTACGATTAATAATTTGCCGTGACAAAAGGTTTAAAAGTCCCCTTTTAACCAGCAAAATAGAACACTGACCAGTCTAAAATATTCAATATAATATTGAACAAACAATGAGCAAGCTACAATGAATGACAATACAGATATCTAGTACAATGCAATATGAGTCACAATATAAAATATTAACTCACCAGAGTCTTGACATTTACAGTGTGAGCAGATATACTGATTGAAGGTTGTGTTACAATGACAGTTGTTGAAATGGTAAGCACGGTCTTGAAATGTTAACCGACAGACTTGACGACGGTGGGCAGATGTGTACCACTTTAGTCATGTGATATGTCCGTGTGTGTGCTACAAGTCAAGAACCAGACTTTATATAGCTTACACAGTTCTCGAGCATTCCAGTAAAGCTGGACTGCAGGTAATTCCAAAGCACCATCCCAAAAGGCGTACCGCTAAAAATAATATTGCCATTGAACATACATGATGCGAGATGCGAGCCGAAACCTACACTCAAAACTTTAAACATTGTGACCCATAATAACTATCACTTAATCAATGTAATATTACAAACTACAAAAACACACTCTCATAACAATTTGACAGTTCCTCCACTCGATGACCCACTCGATGTATCAATTATGTATCCCTTGTGACTAAAGAAGAACGGTCAATTACTTGTTCAGACCCAACATACTTTCTATGTACATCTGCAATGTCTCGGTTGAAAGTCCTGATCAGCTTCAATTAGGGTTTGTTCGTTTGTAGTTTAAAACCACACTCGGCAATATTCCAACTATATGACGGTGGTCTGTACATAATTGTGTCTGGACCAGACTTTTGAGACATTCGCATCCACGACAACACCGGAATACAACCCCACAGGATCTGTCTCTGAGTAACTGGACTGGGAGTCTGAGAGTAAGTTCAGTGAAGAATTCCAATGCCAAGATGGAAGACTTCTTGTCTGCCGACGTCAATGAAGGTTTTCTTTGGAACGGCATTCGACAGGGCGACTGGCAGAAGTTTGATGCTGACGGAAGCCATATCCTACATGCGCAAATCCCATGGACACTAGCATGTTGATCTACCTTGAGTGACTTGAGATCGATAGCCCTTTTTTCATAGCTTCCTCTGTAGTGATATCTTTATTATGAATTACATGCTGGTTTTAAATGTTCATCTGGGATAGTATACATGTAGTTATTTTACTGTCATTCGGTGACAGATATTTACATTGCTTAAGTTTATTTTAAATGACGCCGATGAGGCATTAAATTTTAACTCACTCACTGCATGAGGAAATCTGTCATTATTTTGGTTCAGGGATATCGGAGAGCAAATCTGTAAATGGGCCATATGTTCCAACATCACCATTTTTTAATGGTCAGTTGTTTTAACACGATAACACACAGCCCATGTGACCATTAACTGCCATTGTAGTTCAGCCGTCAGTATCTGCAGTAGTCTTCCAGATATCCAGATCTGATCTATAGGATGAACTCTTTATACTATAAACAAATACACTTGTCTTTCTCAGTTGGCCAACACGTTGCCAGGAGAGAATTCTTCACGGAATCGGTCGACTTATTCAGTCTGTGCTAAGGAGGTGTACTGCAGGTATTACAGCATCTGGTGGTCACCTCGAGTACTTATTCAACCTTTCTCGTTGAGTGTGGAAGAAAGTAGTTAATGTTTCGTGTTATGTTGCTTTACTAGGTGAAATAACTTGTTCAGAAGTTAGCCTATGTGGTTCTTTTCTACACGAACGGAAAATGTCATGTTTTTCGCCGTACTGCCTCACTAGGTGACATAACGATGAGGCTGACACCAAACTACAAAAGGGGACTCCTGCAGGTATTGCACTCCAGTATCTGGGGAACAGTGTGTGATCATGACTTTGGGCAAGTCGAGGCTTCCGTGGTTTGCCGGGCTCTCGGGTACCAGTGAGTGTTAGTTAAATGTCAGTTAATTAACAGGTTACCCTTAACTAAAATCCATCACCAAGTATTATTAACTTAGGTTAAGTTAGAAACATCCAGACAAAAACAGTTTATTGTCTTGATTTCTCAAACAGATGAAAATAGCATGTACAATGATCGGTTCAGTGCAGATTTGTAATATCATATCTTGAATTGTCTTCCTCAAATCTAATTATCACAGGGATGCTCTGTGTCCATATATTCATTATCTCAAACATATTAAGATAAAGCATGTATAACGATGGGTAAGATCGACAAGATCGGCAGATTTGTAATATTATATTTTGAATTCACTATACCGTATAGTTGCTTATTACGGGGATCTTCAGTAATACAACTTACGCATCAATGTACTTGGTGTATTAAACATATAATAGAACAGTTTTGAGTCGCGTTGTGAACTGAGACGAGGTGGCATGTCAGAAATCAAGGACGTCACTGAGAGGGTGTTTGGTCATAACACAGGTTGTGGCAAGTGTGGTGCGTGCTTGTTTCCGTTAGGTTGAGATTAGAACGAAGTTCAGCAAATGCACGTTTCCCATGCTTGATCATCTCTATCTTAAGATAATAAATATACGAAAGACCATTGTTGCCAAAATCACATATTTTCGCAAAAAAATCCGTCATACTAACAAAATAATGAAATATAAATTTGGTGCTGCTTATCGTTTGTCCAGGTGTATTATATATGTAGGATCTGCATCACACATGACTCATCTAATGTTTGATTGAAATGAAATCGTATTCGATTTGCAAAGGCATCTTTTCTCCTTATCTTTACAGAGGAGGTAAGGACATCGATGAAGCCAGTCCCATTAAAATGTGGCTGGATGATGTGGACTGCACGCTGCTGAACACAGATCTAAAGGACTGCAAGCACAGTCCATGGGGGGTGGATAACTGTAACGACAGTGAAGCTGTTGGTGTCGAGTGTTTTTCATTTCCTGAAGGTATGCTATGGGTTGCTGATTGAAGTATCGATCAGTGGATGTTTGCTCACACTCCTTTGTAGGCCGACGTCGTATGGCAGGATTATTGCGGGTTGGATCATGAGGTACTAGACAAAAAACTTAAATTTTTGGCAGGTAACATAGGTTGGATATTACCGTAATTGCGAACACTTTCTGTCATTACCTGTCGTGTTAGTGATTCATAAACAACGTGCGCCTATGATATTGTAGGAATCCTACGATGGTTACCTGTCATTATAGACAAGCTTTTATTTAAAACCGGTCTTCGCATTCACCGGAGAAGTTAAACTCCAAATCAGAATATAGTAAATATGCATTCAGTAAGGCCGACCTGATGGCCGTAGTGTTTCGGGAACTTCAATACAAGAATTATTTAGAGTGGTGACACACAAACGTTAATATCGAGTTTACAGTTTGCCCAATTCTGAATACCAATTTCTGCGAACAAGGATGTATATACAATGAGGCACATATATTCATATGGTCATGTAAAACAGCCGGAAATAGGGTCCTTGAACGATGCTGTCGATATCATAAGTATGTGTTCATGAACGAATCAACGGCGTTGGGATTGACACGTATACAGTTTCTGGAGTCAAACCAACGAGTGATACCTACACATTTGTCCAAATAATGTCATCATGATGTCTTCCTCAGAGGCTACAGCGGCAAGACTGGTCTCCTCCACCACCAACATGCCAGGTGATGGAGTTCTGGAGCTGTACTATAAGGGACAGTGGGGAAGAGTCTACTACTCTGGGTTTGGAGTTGAAGAAGCAACAGTTGCCTGCAGAATGTTGGGATACAACACGTAAGACATATAATGAGATTGAATTACTTCTACTTGTCTGAAAACTACACATTATTATAACTTATCATAGCAAAATATTGTTGTGCCCAGTAAATACTCTGTTGAAATAATAAGACGCAGGTTTTACACCCATTTGATCACTTTTCCAATGATCCCTGCACATGTTTTGAATCATTGTGATACACTATTTGACATTTAGCATTACAGCCAAAGCTAGCTCATCTTCAAACACTGGCAGCGAATCACGACGTGTAATCGTAGAAAAGTTCCATTGTCTTGGCACTGAACTCTCACTGAACGATTGTCTTCATTACCCTTGGGGTAGTGTTACCTCGTCATCAACAGTTGTCCGAATACAGTGTCCTAACGGTAAGTAAAGTTGTCTGTCAAAACGCTGATGAAAACAGGGCAATATTATGTGTTCAGTGCAATCTTATGTGTTTTTGTTCCTTTTCTTGCATTGTTTGTTCCAGCTAATCTTCAAATACGCTTGAACTCGACAACTCGTGGACTGGGGCGGGTAGAAGTACTACACAACAATGTCTGGGGAACAGTCTGTAGAGGGTCGTCGTTTTCCTCAGAGGAGGCACAAGTTGTGTGCAAAATGGCAAATCTTCCCTGGTAACTACATCTTCACGCGACTAAACCTTCGTTCAGAGCAAGATTCATACCAGTATTCTTACTTACTTCCAACACTGAAAACTCCAAGTACAACCTAACTTGAAACTACGACCTTTACCAAATATTCACATTATGTCAATTATTTGTTCCCCAAACTTGAAATCCTACGTTTCTTTCTTGTTGCTTGTTTCTACCATTGTCGATATTTCAAAAAATATTTCTCTTATTACTCGTCAACACTTCACTTGCTTGACAACAGTATAAGAATCAATAAGGACACGTCACTCAAAAAATACATTGGAGTTGTCATCCATAAAATTGCATCTATTATGTTGAACAGATGATTTCTACTAAAGTACTGTCGGAAATGCTAGAAAAATGATATACAGCCTTAATACTTTGATTAAGGTGACGTCAATATATCAACTCGCGTACAGTGTACACAATTTTTATTTCAATCGATTAAACATTCCCATGCATTTAAAGGGCAATTTACAGGAGAGATTTTTTTCAGAGTTAAACATGAGAAATCTGAAATAGTCTTTAAATTTATGCTAATAATACATTACATAATGTGACAGAGACCGAACTCGGGCCATAAATCAATGCATTTTGTTTATGGTGTATAGCCTGATTGGTGTTAAGTTCAAATTGCATGTGGTCAGTGATAGCAGCTTTGTATTGAATATTGTCATTAGCAGACGGGCAGGCAGACACATAGGTGTCAGTAAAACAAGATATTGAGTTTTGTCTGTGACAACGACATATCTATATCACAGTCAGAAATTCTGTCAACGCTAAATAATGACATTGCTTTTAAGTATCGAACTGAAAAAGTGTCTCGGTAAGAAGAACGTGTGGTGAAATAGACAAATGAAATTATATAAACAGTTAATTCACTGTCATAACATCTAAAAAGCTCGCGCCTGTGAAATATCAACAAAACATTAGAAAAATAGCTCACACCAAAGCCTTCACCGAGTATTCACCGGACAACCCGCTTCCAAGCTGCGCGAACCTATTTACTTGCGCACGTGCTATGAGCGCAGCCCAGCTGTTGAAACCCGTTTTCCCCAGAAAAGTCGGGGGAAAATTAGTGAAACGTTTGAACTCCGATTTCGCGCGTTTTTTTTCATCGCTTTTTTTTTCAACTTTATAAGTTGAATTTGCATTGTTGACGATTTGTTTCGGTACGTCCATACCGAAAGGTATCAGAATCTGCAAAGTTGTGTTTTACGTTGCATGTGACCTTTAACACATCAGACAAGACAGGGCCGTCTCAAAAGCAAAACCGTGACGTAAAACCATCCTTGACAACTTTCACAAGGGAGTGATTAAGGACAGCACCAACGTCCCCAGAACCACCCTCATCATTGCCCTCCATGAGATGGGGTTCAAGTACAAAGCCCGTGGTGATGGCAGAGCTGTCTTCAGGGAGAAGAACTCTATTGTGTCCATGAGATCCTCTTACTTGAGAAGTTTGGCAAAGTGCCGTGCCCTTAGCTTCCAGATAGTTTACCTGGATGAAACTTGGGTCATCGAGAACCATTCTACGAACAATATGTGGTTACCCACAGACCGACAGAGAGCCTCCGTGGTACCATCTGGGAAGGGCAACCGAATGATTGTACTTCATGCAGGAAGCCGGGACACGGGTTTGATAGACGGTTGCGAGTTGGTCTTTGAGGCAAAGAAATCCAGTAGAGATTACAACCAGGAGATGAACGGAGATGTCTTCATGGATTGGATGGAACATCATCTTTTGCCCAAACTTTATCAGCCCACTGTCGTAGTGATGGACAGTGCCAGCTACCATAATGTGCGGGAACCATGTAGCATCACACCGTGAATGAGTAGCCTGAAGAAGAAGATGCAGGATTTCCTCACATCGTGTGGTGTTCACTACATACCGGCAGACACAAAGATACAGCTGATGGAGAAGATTCGCATGAACAGGAAGCCCATTCAGCACAGGGCCGATGTGCTGTAACACGGTCCCGTTGTGTTACGTTCACCGGTGAGACATTGTGAACTGAACCCAATCGAACTTATCTGGGCAAACTGTAAAGGGTTCTTTGCGAGGAACAACACTACCTTCAAGCTCTCGCAAGTGAAGGAGTTAATCCGTGCATCGTTTAGCAGGATAACCCCTGGAGTGTGGCAGAAAGCAAAGGACCACGTCCTTGACATTGAACGCCAATACCATCAACGCGACGGAGTGGACATCAGTGTAGTGACACCTGTTATGATCCCAGTGCATGAGGACACAGATTCAGACTCGTCAGATTTGGATTAAGTGTTCCAATATAATATGTGTACTTGCATCGAGTTTAAGTCTCGTTCACAGAGTTGGTTTTATACACATCGGACCATCATAAATTTACTTTGATTAACTGATTATTTTCATACAGTGACTCTCCAGCAAACAAACAGCAAGATAACAAGTTATCATTGCTCATCCGTTTCCACTTCGACAAAGCCAGATCTCATCGCTGACAATATATCTGTCCGCGTAAGCGGAGCCGATATAACGTTAAATTTGCGGCCATATAACCACCGGTATACGTCCCCAATTCGTCAAACACAGTACAGTTATCCCCATTCTAATTCAACTCGTTTTACGGTGTTTTTTCGTGAAAGAAAGGTCAAAGGTTAATCATATCACGCCTTCAACTTACACCATCGCCAGAGAAAGTAGTTCCCTTTTCAAACTACACACGTTTATTATGTGCACACAGACTAAATTTGACAATGATGAATAGATCTTAGTATTATAGATAAAATGGACGGTATTATGATGAAACCGCCCTCTAGTTACAGAAATGAGCGGCCCGCTGATTCCTCAACTACGGGCCCTTATCAGTTCTGTTGTCAAGTGATTTCATAGCAGGTGACGTCACGCTCCATAATGACGTCATAAACCTTGTTTCATGATCTAGCAGTGTTGGGTCAACACCATGTTGCGAGTAAGTTGTTTGAACTTAAAATTAAATTTATGATACTGTTTTTTCCTTTTTAACACAAATTCCACCCATTAGGGGAGTTAATTGACCAATGGCTTCTGCAAATGACAATGTCCTGCGAAACAGCGTTACCCCAATAGCGTTTGGATACATTCAAAGGTTTCGGTGAATCGGTTTTCAAATTGCGACCGTATATGCTGATTATACGGTAGGAAATTTATAGCATTGGCCAATCAGAACTCGTGTTACATACTAAGTTGAATTAGAATGATGACACAACACAGGCGTTTAGTGTTTGTATCAAATAACGTTCCACTACCCCTTATTTTTTCATATGCAAAAACACATTTTAGGGCATGTCTCAAAATGTATTCCCTCGGTCTACATTAGGTTAATGTTTGTTATGTAAGTAACTGTAATATCTATGATTTTTACATAAAAGTCAAAAAGCAATTTTCTATCTTTTCCGACAGTACCCTTTTTAGAAATGATATGTCAGTGTTGCATGGTCATGTGCCATTTTATAGCACGAGTTAGATCCTCAGTGGAAACAGAGTTAGATACTCACGGGAAACACCCATCACAGTGATACTTGCTATTTCAAATCATCCGAGTTTGTAGATGGTCATATTTGAAATACTCAGGAACATCTTACAAATAAGTATACATGTGCATTATGGTCAGTCACGAAAGGGTGACAATGGCATGTGCAGATTTAAAAACTACAGAAGTTTAGTATATTGGTGTATCCCAGATTCTATGGCAAGAAAATAAACAAATTTTCTGATTAAAGCTACAACATGATTTCAAAATCTTAACGAATCGGCAACCCATTGCATGGTATATTTTCTATAGGTTATAGTCCATTCTCGCTGGGTCATAGAAGGTACTTCTGAATAACGACCAAATAGTGATGATACCAGGTGAATAGGTAAATGTAAATGTCTGCACCAGTAGCACCCATTACAAAATAGATTCAAAGGCAGGTCAATGGTTGACACTGAAATCGTAATTGTATGGAGAGCAAAACAAAAATTCCATTGGACATTTGATCTCTAATTTCGAAAAGTATTATGAATGTTTTGCTGAGAGCTTAAAACTTGTAGCCATCGACAAGCAACGTTTAAGGAAGTGTCATGTGTGTGACACAGTCATCAGAGATCTAAGATTTTATTTGTTTAGGACCAGGGTACAGGGTGACCAGGGTCCAGTTTGTTTTTACGTCCATTATACTTTGTTTTGTGCCACCATTTACCTAGTGTAAGTGCAACCAAGCTCCTTAAATCGATCCCTGATGTGTTTTGTTTTAGGACAACAGCGTCAGTGACAACGTCTTATGCTGCAGGGGAAGGACTTATTTGGCTGAGTAACGTCGACTGTACGGGGACAGAGACCTCCCTAGACGAGTGTTCCCACTCTGGTTGGGGAACTGCACCAGGATGTTCCCACAGTAGTGATGTTGGAGTGGTATGTCGTGGAGGTAGGTTGAGCACAATTGTGGTCTTTGACGCATGGCATGGAGCAAGGATGAGCACAGTAGTGATCTTTAAAGGTATGTTATGGAGGTAGGTTGAGAACAGAAGTGAACTTTGACGGCATGTCGTGGAAGGGTTCCGGGTCTTGTTGAGATGGCATATCGGACTTAAGCTTATATCTCATCTAATCTCATCTCATGTCATCACGCTTAAAACGTGAATGACATTTAAATAAGTCAACTTCATTGAAGGTTGTTGTTCACGCCTATAGACACATCATTCTGGCCACAAGAGATAAACCGCAGCTTCCTTCTGGTGCACGAAGATGGTTCATGGACGGCACCTTCAAGATTATGAAGAAACCTTTTGCTCATGTTTGGCCTGTTTGTGCCTTTGACCACAGAGAAACAAGTGCCCCTCCCTGCAGACCACATTCACAAGAAAAAAAATGGTGATTTCCAAAAATTTCCAATTTGGAAAGATGATATTTCCAAAAATTTCCAAAATTGGAAAGATGATATTTCCAAGGCTTGGAAATCTTTGGAAATTTAGGAAGGATTTTACCACTACTTCTTTCAGTTTCTTCTTTTCCCAAGGATCCCCGTGAGTGAATAGACTGTGTATTCGTCCTCCTAGGAGTGTATTCGTCCTCCTATGCGATCAACTATAACCAGGGAGACTATAAGACGTTGTAGATTATTCCTGGTATAACTTCTCTCGTCTGCATCCTTGTTGTTCTAGGTGTCAAAATTGGCATTAACTGTCATATTTGCCCCTGATATGGCCAGCATTTTCCAAAATACAGTTTTAAGTGTATGGTTTACTTATTATCCACAAAGCGCAAATAGTTTTGACCTGTCACGGTTTGCATAAACACAAATTACATAGACCTACGTTACATCATTGATTAAATAAAAGTTTACCGGACCCACTGACTGGCCATGGTTTATTACATGTCATAAAAGTGAACCCTTGCCAGGGAATAATAGGCTTATTGTAGTAGAATACATTCTTTAATGGTACCCTCTAATTAACACCTGACACAAGGGATGGACCGTTTAGGTGGTTTATCATTGCGAAGTCAACAGACCATGAAATGTTGTTTTAAGACTGTGAGCGAATAGAGAGCAACCCGTTTGGGTTTGTGGTCAGAGACGGTGTTATGCAGTTGGTGTATTCACGAAATATCATGAACTTAATAATAGATAATTGGTTATATTGTCCACACACAGGCGGACTGGGGCAAAAGAACCCAAATGAATCCTTCTTAAAAACTTCATAGTGTAACTAATTAATTTGGTCATATACAATAAAAGGTGACTAAATGTTTAATTTTTAGATAACGTTAAATAATTTCTGGAGAAACCACTACACAAGTTCATATCACAGATGATTCCAGAGACAAATAGCTTATGAGATTCTAGTTTATGAAAAGCATTAAATTCCAAACAAGCCAATCTGTTCTCTAATGCTCGGGAATTATTACCACTTACATACCATAGTTTGAGATGTCGACTCAGGAAGCCGACCTTTCGATTCTTATAAGGCTCAGGACATTGACAAGGGGTACGCTTTAAAGTTTGGGTGTTATTTTAGCACATGGCTAATCTCACGTGACGTGTTATTACAAGCTGGTGGTTGATGGAAGTGAACACATCGCACACTGAAGCCGACCGTGTAAATCATGATCAAAACAATCATATGGTAAACACATTTAACAAGGCACTGATCCAGAGCAATTTCCGCGCACTGGTTGTTGCTTTTGTTATTGCTTTTCTCCCCTGAGTACCCGGATGATATCCCAGTACTTTCGATTGGTTCGTGACCTTTGCTGCGCAACCCGCATGCGCAATTGATCGTATAGGTGTAGATTGATCAACAAAAATAAAATCTTTTTACTCGATAATATTTCCATCATTTTGAAAATGAAATGAAAACACTTTGAAGTTTAATCATCTGCCAGTGGTAAAAATGTCAGGACTGAAAAAACGAAGTCAATGCATGTCTATATATTTTTGTCTTATAATCCTAATTATTATATTGCCATATTTGGCATGCATTTTGAAACTTAATAAAAGCATACGATTATACTTATAGCGTATTTATAACATGACTGTAATATCTAGACATTTTATAGAATGCCAACAAGAATCATATTTCACACACACCCTAGGTATGACCTAGTGTATGTTGTCTGTCTCATTACGGCGAAAACAAATGATTCTGTTGAATGCTACCACAAATGAATAAAACAAAATGCAAATATTAGAAATAAAACCGACTAAAGTCTGCAACAATGTCAGGTTATTACCTTGTTCGAGGAATGTATCCATCAATATCCACATAGGTTAAGTGCCGATTTTGACCGCCTCAAATTTGGATATAGGAGCCAATAGAGCTTTGGTCTGGATGTGTATGCTGTTTGTCCCCTCTTCTGACAACAGTCCCATCTGCTGTTGTAGTGACTGAGGCTGTTTTTAGGCACTGATATCTCCATATAATGGTACCATTCCTGCTGGCAGTTCGTCTCGTATTAGTTTGTATTAGTGTTGAAGAATTTTACTTGTTCTGTACTTCTCTCAGGTGATTGCATTAACATAACTACCCTCAATTGGTGCAGCTAGTTATCCCAGGTTTGAGAGCGAAACTTCGCGAATCAGTGACCAAGACGCTGTCAAAAATGGGACACTACCTCCACATAAAGGAACAATATGCCATTGATCTGCAGCTGACAAAGAATCCCGTTCCATGCCAAGTGTCTTTTAACAGTCTAATACCCGAAAAGGGATACATCGATTCAGTTTTCACATTGGTGTATAATCTCATTGGTCAACTAATTGCATGATGTCCGCCATTCTTTAAAAGGTAATCTAATTAGCCAATAATGAGCATTAAATCCACTTGTGTTTTTCTTTGGCTTGGTCATCTCCTCCCCACCCTCCCCCACCCACCCGTACCATTGTCTTGCTAATTAACATGGTCTGGTGATCCTCTTACGCCTTAAATAAACAACTTGCCCGACTGGCAAAGAGGAACACCCCATCAACTTACTGGCGGTTAATACATTGAAGGAAAGATGTTGTTTTTACACAGGTACAGGGTACAGGACAGGGTGTAATCAGTATAGATTAGTAAATCTACATACATAAACATTACCTTTTGACAAATCCACTGTGCAAGAAAAAAGTAATTAATCAATCAGCGTGTTATCGGTTAATCCTTTGATCAATGTTTGTTTTGTATCTCAGCTGATAATTCGTCTTGCTGCAGTTCCATGAGCATATTACATAACATGTAATACATTTGTCACATAAGACCATCAATTCATAATGCTGAGTACATGTATTTACTCCAGACACAAGAAATGCGAAATGGGAACCTTTGGCGGGTAACCTGAGTGGTATTACCATCATACCTGTTATACATGCATTAATTGACCATCAAGTGAATGATGACAAATAACATGTGTAGGTTTATACCACCAAACACTCAGCTAGTTACAGCAAAGGGGATAGTAATCGCTGAATTGCATGCAATGTTAATTGCCTGAAAAAAGTTATGGGCCGACACTGTTTGGAGGATACGAACGGAACTTCATTGTTGCATAAGAAATACATATAAGCATTGGATGTGTACTGAAGTTAAAATTGTATATACCTGAGTACATTTTCATTTGTCATAAATATAATATGTAATATACATCATATGTTTACATGGCATGATTAAATATCGAGGTAAAAAAACACAGAAATAAGATCAAATTGAAAAATTGGATCAGTCACTATGCCATCTATGCATTAAACAATCCGAAAAGCATATACACTGCTGGTATACTTTATTGCAATCAGACAGGAACTACTGGGGGTATTCTCAAATACATGTAACAGCATCTGATGAGCATCCACCCTTCCTAATGTCCCGCTGTTTGGGTTGAAGAAATTTTGTCAAGGTGGCCAGAAGCCCAGTCCCTGTGTCCGTCACTGTCGAGGGAGCAGATACCGACAAGCTTGCAGTTTGGTTTGGAAATTAGACTGTTGGCGAGAAACATTAATCGCTCTGGATCAGTTCCCCTCTAATTACATTGGGATATATACATGTAATGAGAAGAAGCATGAAAGTGTACATTCGATTTCGAAATGGCTAATGCTCAACTTGAACATAAGTTTATTCCTACACCTTGTTGGTGCAATATGCCAAGGCCAAAGACAACCCACGACGAAGAAATACCGATACCTTGAACGACATCTTCAAGAACTGAGACACCAGTTTCAAAATAAAATGGAATGTTAACTGTTAGACAGTTTGCTGATTCAGCGTCTCTTCTTTCACATCTTAGATATATTTATAATGTACTTATAAATGTGTATGTATATTTATAATTATGTAATATTTTGAAACATTTCATAATATGATGTAATGTAACTATTTATAAAAAAATCCTGTAATATGTAGCATGTTGTAACATGATTAAATAAAATCTGTCCATATAGTCTCCACTCGTGGCTTACGCCTTCTATGTTTTTTATGTGTTTTATATTTCAATGTTTATATGCTGAGACTGAAATGAAACACTATCTTTATACATATATTTGGCTCGTTTTCTCATTAGGTGTGCTCTCATTCGCATAATCCGGAATATCCTATTCTATCAACAAGTAGGCCTATCATTGTCTCTATAATCCAATGTTAATTTGCTAACGGACGGGACATCAACATTTCTCTTAACTCATCTGTTTGGACCAAAGGTCGATAGAGGGAGTTTCCATGTATATTCTCATGCCGTTATCAAGATAACAGTTACCAGGTGAACAGAAGTATATATGCATAGTGACTAGCAGCAAACTAACACCAGGTGATTCAGCAAGTAGCACATCGTTGGGGCATGAGGAGAGTAAGATCAACAAGTCTAAATCCACTCCATTCTCCAAGTGATGGAATCAATCAACATTCAATCAGCTTGTTTATCCTGAACGTTGTACATCGAAATGCCGCTCTATGCAATAAA